GTTTCATATTTTTGCCGATTTGTCAAAAACGAGTGGACCAAAATATGAAGTGTGCTATATTATTGAAATCAGAATAAGATATTATATCGAACACATATATAATATACAGGGTGTTCCATTTGAAAAAATATAATGTAGGCTTATATGTCAAAAAGTTGATAGTGTTTTGTTTTACGTGTAATTTGAAAAAAAACTTGGCTACTAACCCTACATTTTGTTTTTTTGTTTACCTTGATAACTTCAAAAACAAAAAAGTTACAGGTGATCAGAATGATATCGAAGATAAAAAAACACCCGGTACAGGGGGATTAAAAAATAGGAAAATATGCAGGGTTTTTTGGTAAAAGTAGAAAAAAAATGGCACATCACTATTTTTTTAAACCTTTGATATTTTTTTCAGATTAAGCAAGTCATATTTCAGTCAAAAGAAACCTTTCGTTATCACAAATCAACCTGCCAAATTTAAAAAAAAAAAAAAATGGAAAAATTTTTGAGCTGAAAAAACGATTTTTTCTAAAACTTTGACACCCTGTATCTCAGAAACTACGCATTTCTGGTCACATATTTATGGGAACTTTTTTTGTTAAAATATCGTAAGGAATGACATCCTGAAGTTACGGACCGTACTTAGGAAATACCCTGTATATTTTTCTATTTTTTGACCACCCTGTACATGCTATTTTAACTTTTAATATTTTGATATTATTTTTTCAAGAAGCAGAAACTCTTATAAAGGATAACTTTTTTTCGTAAAATTGATAATAAAAAAGTTTCCCATGTGCTGCGAACTTAAGTGGATACACTGTATTTTATGAGAAAATTTCATGAATCAAAGATTCAAATTTTTTGTCAAAACACCAGTTCTCGCATTAGTTACTATGCAATAATTTACACTAATATAAATTATCACGTAATTCCAATCTGATTGGTTCAAATCAACAATCAAAACATGTCAGTTTATTGTTGGTATATCAGTTTTGACAAATGTATGAAATTCTTATCAAAAAAACGGCCACTAAAATCAAAAATCGACGTATCCGAGATTTTTTGAAAAAAAAATCAACCTTGTATTTTTGATGGATTTTATTCCTAACCTTCACGTACTAACTGTATTTAACTATGCTATATGATATCCTCTTTCGTTTATTGAATTCTAGTAAAGTTATCTTTGTTCGTTTTGAGTTCATTATGAAATATATTCACCATAATTATTTACACAAACTAATAACTGGCCTTGCAGTCCTCTCGCGTCGTGTAATTTTTACTTACCCCGGTGCGAAATTAAATCCGCCAGAGGCAGCACGTCGCTGCAGCCAAAATTTTTGAATTTCCGTGTTTGCAGGGCTTACAATTTGAGACGAGATCTCAAAAACTACTTAATATTTTTGAGTGAATCAAGAAGATTCGAAAAGATAATAAAATTTAGAACAATGCTCTTGTTTCATTTTTTTAAAAAAAGCGATGGGTTTGGATGTACCGAGCGATAGAAATGATGCTTTTTTTCGAGTATTTAGGTCGTGATATTTTCAATTTGCAATTTTTTTTTCGAAAAACTAAAACAACAGCATTATTCTTTAGATTTTTATCTTTTATTATTTTCTAATCCGGTCAAAAAATATTACAAAATAAGTGAGTTCTCGTCTCAGGAAATTAACCCTTTTTCTCAATTTTTAACGGCTTGTTGTTGGCCTCTTAATCTTTTTGGTTGTTGGAAGGCAAGAAGACATAAGAGATTCTCATTTTGGCTGAGGAGCAATTTCTAGGTTTCAAACACAAAAAATCAACTGTATAGAAAAAGCGAATTTTTCCTCTGTCAAGCCTGAGTTTGAGAAATTGTTATGAGAAACTCAAAGAGTTATTGAAGGGTCAAAACAGTGTCATATTTTTCAAAAGCAAATATCACAGAGGAAAAGGCCAACTCTGAAACCTGAAAATTAATAAGAGAGACTTTTTTGAATTATGATAGAGCTAGAAAAAGACTCTCCCAGTAATTTCTAACTTCCAAAGACTGAAATGAACTAAAAGAAACAGGCTTTAGCAACTTAAAATGAAAACCCTGAGAGCTGAAAATATTTCTTTTGGCTCACTAAAGGGCGAAAACGGCCTGAAGCAAATTCAGTAACAAAGAGGCTAACATTATTGTGTTACCTATACAGGGTGCTCACCGGGAACCAAATCGATCTATATATGAAAAACTGTATGCAGAAAATTTTTGAAAATTTGCCAGTCTACTAATGGTCCAAGAGCCCAGAGCCGCCAGACACAACTTATTTTCTAAAGGACAGAATATATGGGATTGAGTAGCACTTATAGGTACTATGAACGTATGTATATTCGCTAAGTTGGGTAGACGGCCAATTGACTGTTATTTGTAAATAACAGTTTTTCCTATTATGGGAAAAACCTAATCCCATTTCTACTCTAGCCTGGAGTAGACTGTAAGTTTAAGAGGCGGAAATCAGTTGACATAGATATCTCGCTCACTCCCAAACGCATGCATAGTACCCTCGCGCTCATACTCCCGGAAAAATTATTTTGCGTCTGGGGGGATGTTTGGCCGGTGCGATTGGTCTGGCTGAGCACACGTAGGTATGAAATAGTCTCCCCAATACCATATATAAAAATCACGCTTTAGAAAAAAAGTTAAAGCTTTCTTCAGCTTTCGCACCTGGTGTTGGTAAATTAGCCGTCTACCCAACTTAGCGGGTATACATACGTTCATAGTACATATAAGTGCTACACAATCCCACATATTCTGTCCTTTAGAAAATAAGTTGTGTCTGGCGGCTCTGGGCTCTTGGACTATAATGTCAGTGGGGGCAACCCGGCTAAAATATTTTCAAGATGGCGGCACTGCTGGTCATACCGGAAGTGGATGTCAACGCTTATTTTAAATGAGATGGACGTCAACTTGCTTATTTTAAATGAGACCCTGTATGTGATTTTTGGATTCTACGTAAAATTCCGAGCAGATTTCATGTGATATACCCTATACCTAAATTCAATTGTTTTGGAAATACTGACAGTTGTCAAAGTTGACTTTTTGCAACTTTGACAGGATGTAAAACCTAAACGGCTAATTTTAGAGGAAAACCATTTTCACATCCCTCTCAAATTTTCATAAACTATCATTTGACACCGACTTTGAATTCAACCGGAGATTAAATTTAATTGGAATTTTTAATCATAGACTAAATTCATAGTTGGTGTCAAATGATAGTTTATAAAAATCTAAGATAGGAATGTAAAATCGGTTTTCCTCTTAAATTAACCGTTCAGGCTTCACAGCCTTTCAAAGTTACAAAAAGTCAATTTTCAACTGTTAATATTTCCAAAACAGTTGAACTTAGGTATAGGGTATATCTCATGAAATCTGCTCAGAATTTCACGTAGAATCCAAATATGCAATCACATACAGGGTGTTCCATTAAAAATAGCGATGTTCCAATGGTTTAGAGTAAAAGCGGCAACACCGCATAAGCAAAAATATTTTTAAAGTATAGGTTATGGTCGTTTATCCCGATTGCCAAATTTTCAAAATGATCCGCTTTTTAGTTCTCCATAAACGTCTAATACGCCATCCACCGTGGGACACCCTGTAGATTCTAATTTCTGAACCCAGATCCAATTTTCAGATACATTTCTCTGAAAGTTCATTACTCCTGGAGCTCTAGCAAAATTTTCCATTTCGGAGGGGTAGGTAGGTTTACGCTGCTACCATGTAATATGTAATAGACACTATAAGGTTTTGCAGAACAATATTTTCATATTCCATTTGACATTCGAATTGACAACAACTAATTATATGTCATACCAGTTGCTGGCACAACAAATAATAATATATCAAAAATACATATAATAGTATCCCTGCGTTTTTATTCTCATCAAATTTTACCGATGGATCCACCACCAATCTAGGCCTTTTCGGAAACACTGATCCGATTAACCCGATCACCAGCTGTTTGTATTTTATCTTCCTTTAATGAATACGATTGAAGAAAGACACAGAATATCAGCTGATGATCCGGTTAATCGGATCAGCGTTTCCGAAAAGTCCTTCTATGTCGGTGATTGTCATTTTCCATTCACCAAACAAAGATAGCTAACTCATCGGTGAAGTCACTGATTAGAATAAAAACGAGGGGTATATAACACTCACTTAGGTATGGTATATCCAATCACATACAGGGTGTCTCATTTAAAATAAGCAAGTTGACGCCTACTTCCGATATACCCGGAAGTGCCACCATCTTGAAAATATTTTAGACATTACTGAATACTGTATACCTACTGTCAAATTTTCAAAAATTTTCTGCATACAGTTTTTCATATATAGATCGATTTGGTTACCGGTGGGGCACCCTGTATAGTTCTTGTTTCATGTGGCAACTCCTAGGACTAGAAATTTCCAAGAGAAATTCTTTCTGGCTTGTTGTTGGAAAAGACTATCTCACTTATTTCTAACTTCAAAAGCTCAAAATGACGTTTAACATGCCTCTTGTAACGCTATGAGCTAGAAATTGTTGAGTGTCCCTTTGGACTCGCTACCAGCGTGAGAATAGCCAAGAAGAGGATAATTTGACCCTGTTTTCCGTCTCTGACCATTCTAAGCAGAGACTTATTTGGCTTGTTTAAAGACAAGCATAGTCTCTCAGCTAACTTTCAAAAAGAAAAATCAACTCTGAGAATCAGGCTAGTCTTGACTTGTTAAGATTTATTGCCTCTCGCATCTCTGAGAGCTGGAATTTGTTGTAACTTGTTAAAAAACAGGGATAGCCTCACAGCAGTTTCCAGCCCTCGAGCACAAAAATTAACTCTAATAACGAGGTCAATCTTACCATGCAATAGGTATTGTTTCTTGCTCCTGGCTAGAAATGAGAGACATGCTGCAATTTCTAATATTCAAAGACAAAAACAACTTTGAGGTGGAAACCAGTGTTAGCATATTGATTTTGGCTCCTGAGAGTTTTTGCATTACTAATGAGATTTTTTTTTTCTAGAGAAAAAATGGCCTTTTTTACCAGAACACAACTAACAGTCCCCTTTCTACCAGACGAAGAAAGTTCCCCGATTGAAACAAACAAGTTATTAGAAAATAGTGAGGAATTAGGGCCTCGAATTGAGATCACAAATTCCAGCAGTAAAGATAAGGATAGCGATAGTATAGGTGACAAGGATAAAAATTCGCCATATAAGTATGTTGTAGATAGGACAATGGGAGTTGAGGTTTGAAAGATTTTATTTTCTAGTAGGTATTTATTTTTCTAATTCAAAATAGTTTTTCACATTTCATTCGTTCTTGGTTGTATTTTTCTGTTAAGAAAATGTAACGGATAAGACTGCAGAAACCGAAAATAATTAAGTGCCTCTATGAAAATGGGATTTTTTTAATATTTAAAAAATGTGTTAAAGAAAATTAAAATGTTCGAAAAAATACAACTAAGAATCAAAAATTTGTTTTTTCTTGTTTTTTTAACTTTACGATAAAGTGGAGTGATAGATCGCAATATTAAATCTGGGGATTTTATTTTTGAAATATTCCTTTTGTGTTTTGGAACATTCTTGACTAATTTTTGTAATAATTTTTTTTTTAAATTAACGAGCCTTCGGCCTTAACTCATTGATTGAGACAAAAGTTCTATTTATTTTTTTTCCAAAATAAACTAGAAACTAATGTTTTCATAACAAATGGGCACAATTTTTTTTTTTATCAATAACATATGTATAGGAATATTTCAAAAAGCCATGAAGTTGTGCATTTGGAAAAAATGTTGCCTTAAATTCCTATGTGATTAGAAATTATTTAATATATTTCGAAGAGGAATAAAAAAAATGTGATTTAGTGCCTTCAGATCTGAATTCGTCTTCAAATAAAATAATTATTGTTAATACTCAAAAGTTTATATGGTTTTGAGCTAGATGGAAAATGCTGTGCATATATCATATCACTGTAATATTTTTAGTACAATCTCTTTTTTTACTTTGTTACCATATCCTTAAAATATTGTTAAACGTAAAATTGTTCTTAAGAAGCCCCTAGTGCTTCTTCTGGATGATAAAACAACTTTTTTACACTATTTAAAAAAGCCATAGTCTTTTATTTTGCCTATAATGTGTTGCCCTAGGCACCTAAAAGACCCTTTTATTATACATACACACACCTCAACTATATTAGTTGAGTTTATTTTTGTTATTTAGCTTTCTTACAAATGGTTATTCGTGATTTTTTTTTTGTATATAATATTGTAAATAATAATTATTAAATTTTTATTTAAAAAAACATGTGTAATATAAAAGAGTAGTTGATGTTTGTAAAAACAAAAAATATACATTCTAAACGGAAAAATTATTGTATTATTCTAATTCTTATTTAAATAAAAATTCGTTTTTAAGAGTTTTCGTATTTTATTAAAACCCGATCAATATTTATGCAATATAAATTATCATCTCTACAGCCCACATAAATTTGATTTTCGAGCACATAGGGTAAAGAATAACTTTCGGAAGGTAATTGCATCCTAAATATGACTGTTCCAGTACAGTCTTCTATGACATATAAGACTCCACTGTTACATGTGCAAACTATAAATATTTTCTGTTCATACTCATACACAAAAGGGGATGAAGAAATTGCCGATTCAAGCTTAGCAAATTTGGATATTTCACAATCTGGAGTTACTTTATAAATATAAGAATCATCACATCCAAAATAAATCACATTTGTATGGCAAATTAAAGAAGAAAAAATGTGTCCCTCTATATCAAGTGTCCATTTAGGAACTCCTTTGGCAGTGAAGCAATAAAGTTTACCTTAAATTTTGGATTTTGAATGCAAATTATAGTGAAAAATAAATAACTCACCAGTCACACTACCCCACACAGTGCAATCCTCGAGCAGCAGACAAGGAGATCCAAAAACAGGCCCTTCGATTTTATAAGTCCAAGTTACTGAACCATTTTTTCTATTCAAACCATAACACATGCCTTTTATTGTACCCACAAATATCGAGTTTACATTTACTATAGGATCTGCTCTGATACTGCCAAGAAGTTTAGTTTTCCAATTTAATGCACCACTCTAAAAATTAGTCGAGATTTAGTGTAATTTATATAAGGGCCTACAGAATTTTACGTTTCAATATTTCAAAATTGAATATTGGTTTGATACAAAGGACATCGCACAAATCTAATGTGTTTTCGGGGACCGGTCGAGTTTTTTAAAAAAAAATTGTTATGTTGTAGTACTAGCAAAAATAATCATTTTTCATCATTGCACCAAATCTCTAAGTATACAGGGTGACCCATTAAAGTGGGTCCGGAAATCATAAAACCAGCCTTTTAATTATCGATGTTAGCGCACCCTGCAAGCTACATATCGCGATTTTTGTTTTCGATTTCGCAAATAAATAGTCTAGATAAGCCTCATATACTATACAGGGTGGCTAAGTTTGCGTATTCTTTTAGACATCCTGCCCTATTCTTAGAGATAGTGTTACCAAAACTACTGGATTTTATTTGCTCGTAACTTTTTCAATAAGTAGTGCTACAAGTTATAGTTACAGTGGGAAAATAGTAAAATACAACCCCAATACGCTTTACTATTTTCACTTCAAAAATCGTAATTACCTAGTGCCTATTTGCACTCCTGAGGAACGAATTTGATGGTTACTTCATGTCAAGCGTAGCCCAAGTACCACACAACTCTAGGAATGTGGGAGCACATGCCCAAAGTTATAGCACCAACTCATCAATTATTATACAGGGTGTCCCAGCCGAGAGTGGCCCATTTTACCTGCTCATAACTTTTAAACCAGTTGTGCTAGCTACCTGCGGATTGCGCCATTCGACTTCTCTTGGCCTAAAGTTTCTTTTAGTACCTTGAATTGATAGTCTGAATATGTCATTCAGATACAGCAAAAATAAAATCGGTCCGAGAACGCACCCTTGAGGAACGCCATTCGATATATTCAAAGTTAGAGATTGTGTAGAACCGATTTTTACATGGGAAATAAGATTTGAACCACGTCAAGAAGACTCCTCCAAAGCCGTAAACATGCAATTTTTTAACATAATTTCATGGTTTACGCAGTCAAAGGCCTTGGAGAAGTCACAGAAGACCACTTCATCCTCATTTAAAGACGTGAAAACATGATCTAAAAGATTAAAAATTGCGTCTTGAGTGTTTTTGGATGGTTGAAAACCAAACTGAGAATTACTTAAAATATTAAATTTATGCAGGTACTCTAACATTCTTCCCTTGACCAATTTTTCTATCACCTGTGAAAGTGTTGAAATGATATTGGGCGGTAATTTTCGGGCTTGTCAGTTTCACCTCCCTTATGTATTGGAACAACAACTGCAGTTTTAAGAAGGTCAGGAAAATTGCCCAATGGAAAGGAGATATTTATACATTCAGCCAACACATAAAGAGCAGTCTCAGGAAGATTCTGAAGTAGTCTAACGGAAATGTCATAGCCGCTTGATTTAGGATTTTTTATGTTCCTAAAAATATTTCTCAGTTCACCGATATTTGTAGGTTGTAGCTCAAATCTAGCATCTATTTTTACGTCAGACAAGTACGAAAGAGGATTTATGTTTCGGGTTGGTCGCTGCACATACATTTGCAGGTTAAATGATAAAAACAAATTGGATAATACCTGTGTAGCCTCTGAGGTCTCATCGTCATAATTTATATTATCACCACCCAGGCACCCAACAAAAGGTTTGCCTTACATCTTACATGGTAGATTCATTAAAAGAGTTCCTAGATTTTCAAGATATTGTTTTAAATTTGAAGAATATGGTGGTCTGTAAATGCACAAAATGTACAAGTTGTTTCTTTCATTGTACCACAATGAAAACTCAAAGACACCTTCTACTATAATGATGTCACAGTGTGAAGCAGCAATAACTTCATGAGTCTCCAAAAACTCATCCTTTATAAGAATAGCAGCACCTCTACCACTCTTTGTAATTCTACAATATTTAGACACGAGTGTATAACCATTGATAGAAAATATTTCATTTGTTGCCAACTAATGTTCAGTCAGCAGTAATATGTCAGAGAAGTTTTTATATTTTCAAGAAATAGGTACAGATCATCAACTTTGTTTCGTAGGGATTGAATATTCAGTGAAAATACAGACACCTGTTTTTCTCGATTGCAATTTTGAGGTATGTTAGAGTTATTGGGGGCGTTACTTGAGCTAAAAAATCTATCTGTTCTTGCTGAGTAAAATGCATTTCACTTTCGGAGTTATTGAAACACGTTTGTGGCTCTAATACGTTTACGGAAGTGCCATTTGATAAAACTTTCTGTACTAAAACTAAACTTTCTTTTACACTACCACAGTCGTTGTTACTATTACAATTTAGAATTGACCCCTGAGATTCTAAGTTACTATGCATCGATGGTGAAAGTTGTTGTAGCGGTGTGAGGTGTGAGTTTGCAGATAAGTTTATTATTGACTCCCCCACAAGCTAACCAATTTGCCAGTTTCTAATACAAAGTCCCCTTTTGTTGTTGATATCTATGTGCTCCAAAGATGTCTCAGAAATCCTATCAACCTTATTTATAAAAGAATGGAAGTTGTTATTGAATGCTGCAATCTTATTTACGTTTTTATAGTTTGACGATACTGGACAAGACAAAAAAATAAAATTGCGTTTATTCCAAATGGATTATTTATTTGAGGAAATTTGTCATTTACAGCTATTTGCACCGCTATAAGTTAAGGGATATTTGATCTAAGTAGAGCTTTGATTGTGACTCTTGTAGCAACAAAAGTCACATTCAAAGCTCCACTTAGATTAAATATTCCTTAGCCGTGCAAATAGCCATTAGAAGATCATTATGACCACCAGTTATTGTTACATACTATAGTCATTACCATTCAAATTCTTCCGTCATATTTTCCAAATCTTCTATAACACTTTGGAAAAAGGCCCCTGGCTTTATTATCATTTCTACTTTAAACGTATGTAAAGATGGTTGACGAGTAAGATAATTGAATAAATGTCAATAATGTCATCCATTTTGATCGCTCAAATCAAAATTTTCGGTTTACTTGTTGACGTCATCTTGGGATATTCTGCGTTTGACTCGCGGTGCTTCTCGAAGCTCATGTCTATAGGTGCAACAAAACTTGAAGCTCGCAAATATTTTATTTCTTCCTGTAAATTATTTTTTGAGGAATGGTCTACATTTTGGATCTCCTTACTAAGCTGCCTTTGCTTATTTTCAAGCTCTTCTATAATAGATTTTTGTTCTTGTAGAATCATTTTGAAGTTTTGACCTTCAATTCTTTCTGTCCTCAGCTCTTTGCCCATCGCTTTACATTCAGCTTCTAATGTGTTTGCCAATAATTTAACTTTCCTATGGAATTCTTCAGGGATGAGTAGCTGTTTTTTTGTCTGGTCGATAAGTTGTAGATGTTCTTTTATCTTTAAGTTGATTGTCTTGTTTCAATGTTTTTATTTTCACGTTCAAACTGGAGATAATTTTTAACTGGTATTCCAATTTTACGTCAAACTGCCTTTCTTGGTCCAGTGCCATATCCTTAAAACACTTTGAACCCTTACTTTCTGTAAGGTTGCCCCTTCCAAGCTTGGCAATCTGGGCATCCCTTCACGTACTTTTCGATGTCCTTTAGCGTTCTGTCCCAAAAAATCTGTTTTTAATTTTGTCCGTTGTTTGTCCCAAGTGTCCACTTGTCGGCGACGCATGTAGCTCCCACAGAATCTCTTCTCTCATTGATTTTGGTACTACTAATACTTTTTCTAAGCCGTTTTGTGTCCTATTTATTTTATAGAGTAAGTCTTTTTCAATCCTAAAATTTTTTGCTATTCTGCTGATGCCAATATTAATTTCTTGTTGGTCTGGGTTTCTTATAGCTTCGAATATTTGTTTTAAACTTGGGTCTTTTTTCTGTAACGTAGCCGTTTGCACTGATTTTAGTGTGAATGTGGGGAGCTTCTTTTGCTCTTCTTTTTCCTGGGGTTCTGGTCGAAGCACTGGATTGCGGGACATACATTCGGCGTCGGTGTGTTGAGCATTTTTTATATACAACCGCGTAGTCGAATTCTGCAAGTTTTAGTGCCTACCTGGCCAAGCGTCTGCTGCTTCCCTTAATGGAGTCCATCCAGCAAAGAGTATGAGTCAGTGACGATTTTTACTGGTCGTCCGTAAATTAAGTGTCGCAGATAGCTCAATGCCCACACTTCGCCTAAGAGTTCTAATTCACTAATTGAATAGGTTTTTTTTCGATATTTGAAAGACTTCTTCTTATGTAGGCTATTGGATGTGCTTCTCCGTTGTCGTGGTATCTTTATTTGGGTTGAAATTTGAAATGCTGTAGCACAGGTGCGGAAACTAGTTTTTCTTCAAGGATGTGAAATGCATTGTTTTGTTCAGAACCCCATTTGAACCCTATGTTCTTTCTTGTAAATTCATATAGTGGTCTTGCTATTGATGTGAAGTTACGTATAAATTTTCTATAAAAATTACATAATCCTAAAAAGCTTTGTAGATCTTTAACTTTCTTTGGCGTCGGGAACCCTTTTATGCAAATTATTTTTTCTTCATCTGGTAATATACCTTGCTCCTTTACTCTGAAGCCTATTATTTAGATTTCTTTTTTCAAATATTCGCATTTGCTTGGTTTTAGAGTAAGGTTAGCTTGTCGTAATCGCTCAAAAACTTTCTTTAGTTTACTCAAGTGTTCTTCGAATGTTTGTGAGAATATAATGATGTCGTCTAGGTAGATTAGCACTAACTTCCATTTCATATCCCAAAAAACTTGGTCTGCTAGTTCTTGGAAGTTGGCTGGAGCATTGCATAATCCAAAACTAAAAACATTAAATTCGTAAGTCCCATGTCCTTGCGCCACGAAGGCAGTGTATTGATTAGACTTCTCTTCGATTGTTTTTCCCTCTTTTTTCTTTACTAGCACTACAGGGCTGGCCCATGGAGAGTGGCAAGGCCGAATTACTTCGCTGTCGAGCATTTCCTGGATTTGTTCGTCAATAATCAGTCTTTTTTTTGTGACACTCTGTATGGGCGTTTTTTTATTGGGAGCCTCTCCGACGTCTATCATGTGTTCTGTTAAGTTTGTCTTTCCCATATGTTTCGTAGATTTGTGAAAACGTTGTTGTATTCCAGAAGTTCTTTGAGTTCATGCCCCTTCTTCTCGTTTGTGATGCTGTCTAACTTCCATTGTTACTTCTTCGCTCTCTTCGTCTTTTTCTGCTTGCAACATGAAATTTTGTGGGAGATTTGTCTCTGCTGTTTCTGCCAAAAATGCCATTGTGGTTCCGGCGTATATGGCTACTCGGTTTCTTGTGTTTGATTGTACTTTTAAAATGAGGCTACCTTCGTTGGTGTGAATGTGCGTTTTTAGTTCATTTTTTGCTAACCAGTATAAATTTTATTTGCATGTATACATAGTATTATCTTTAATCTCACTAGATTTGCCCATAATATCTAATTCTAATGTTTTTAACTCATTTTGAGACACCGTGTAATCTTTTTTTGTACCTAATTTATATGTCTTTTTCTCAGTTTCTGTGCCGATTTGCATCAGATGCTTGATTTCTTCTTGCTGCTTTTCTTTTTTAGCTTTATAACCAGGTTTTTCCCTATAAATGTGAATTTGAACCCCTGCATCTTCAAATAGAAAATATATCATCGTTTAAATCTGGCCCATTCTTTTTCTAATCCCCATCCTTGTCTTGGCATGACTAATTTTTTGATGGATTTATTTTTCGAGATATTCAGTCTTATGAATAAACTGTAGCAAATGCTTTTACTCTACCTCCATCTCTTTTTGCTGCATTAAAGCTGTATAGGTTTATGTCAAAAAACTTAAGCAAAAGCATTTGCTTCTGTTTTATTTATATGAGCCATTATTCCTTAGTGGTGTAAGACATTAACACATGTTTCTTGGACTTGGCTTCTCTTTCATTAACTCTCTTGTGAATAGAAAAATGACTGATTTTTTTCCTGGTTTTGACATCGATAGCTTCCCAACCCAATGGTCATTTTCTCTCTGTTTTTTGGAATCATATGCCTATATTTCCTGAAAACTGGTTGTTTTGATTTGTAGTTTTGGGTTACTCCCACTACTAAAATGGTGTCGTTCGTTAGGACGTCTATGTTTCCATATTCTTCTTTCAGGAGACCGTTAACCTGGTCATCTTTTATGTGAATGTGCTCTCTTACAAACTTGTTAAACCCTTGTTTATCTCTTGGAGTACCTAGTCTAAGCTCTCTCGTTTTAGACGGCTGTTTTGTTGTGACCAGACCTGACAAGTTGACTTTTTTGTTATTCATTTGCCTTGGGGGTATCTCATGCTGACCATTTAGAATCAGTTTTTTCCTTGGGAAATCTATGATCGCGTTATTTTTTGTCAAAAATCCATCCAGGATTATTGGTTGTGTGCCCGGAGCCTCCACCAAATGTCACAACCTTTCTGTGACGGGGGGTGTAGGGTGGATAGATGGAGAGAAACTCGCTCAAGTTATTATAAAAATATGTATACGTATGACAACTGATGAATTGTGATTAGGTAATTACTCTCAACATGACCCTTTTTGGGTCTTGTTTTCAATTTCAAACTGGGTTTCATGTTCCTAAGAATCCGCCATCGAATAAAAAGTTATACTTTTATCACTTTCCGCCATTTCGAATTGTATCTTATTTGTAATTTCTTAGATTTCATGACATCCCTGTGATATAGGCTTTATTTCAAGACCACATGTTTTTAACTCGGACAAAAATTAAGAAAGCAAATAAAATCTAGCGCGACCTTTTTGGTAACACTATTTTTAAGAAATAGAAATGATTTCCGGTCTCACTTTACTGAGTCACCCTATATAGTTAGAGATTTGGTGCAATGATGAAAAATGCTTATTTTTGCAAGTACTATCCAACCAAATTTTAAAAAAAATCGACCGGTCCCCGAAAACCCATAAGATGTGTGCGATGTCCTTTAAATCTTTTTTCATTTTAGAAAACTTTTTTCTCATAGTGAGCTATGAAAACTATTCTCCGGGGTTTTGTGAGAGGTTTGATAGATATTCGCCATTATGGCAGGAATGGGTTTATTTTTTCAATAAAAATTTTTCCAAATCAATGCAGTTAGTTGGGTTGGTTAGAGTTTTTCAAAAGGGGTTTTTGTGTGGGCCAACCCTGAATCTACTAGGCACTACATTAATGAAACATATAATTGAAGAATCCTACCTCTTTTTCTAAACAATACAAATACTCGTCATACGATCCAAATATAATGGAATTTCCACAAAAATAAGCTCCACTTCTAATCCTTCCCAGTGTCTGATATTTCCAAAAAATATTTTTTTGAATTAAATCAATGGCATACATAAAACCATCAGCGCAACCAATAAAAATAAAGTTTCCGCAGCTTGAAACGCATGGCTGAGCCTCTATTTCGCTAGGCATATTGAGTGTTAAATATTCAGTACCACTTTCAGAAATAATCGAGAAAATTTGAGCATAACTGCCAGAAGCAACAAAAATATTATTGCTAAAAAATAAATATTATTGGGATGGTGAATAAAACTACAATTAACTTACCCTCGTTTGAAAGCCAGTGGAGCAGAATCAACACACCCTTTTAGATTAAATTTCCATAAAACACAATCTTCTGGCTCCCCATCAATTATTTTCAAAATTTTAGTTTCTCTATTATCTCTAATAGGACTGGAAAGTTTTCTTTTCACACTCATAGTCTGCTCAATAAAGTTAAGACACTTTTTGATACTATCATTTAAGAGCAAAGTGACTAATTCCCCAGGAATATCTCCATGAATTTGTTCCTTAAATGTTTGCAGAAATTGCATAAGCGTTAAAGAATTTCCACCCAATTCTGTGAATTTGAATTGTAGATTTTTTGATAGTGGAATTTTCAAAAAGTTAGTTAAAGTATCCAAAAAAATTTCACTATTACTTTTAGCTTTATACAAAGAGTCAATTTTGTTTTCGTAAATCTTCACTAAGCATTTATCACTAATTTTTCCATGATTATTTAGAGGGAATTCAGCTAAAACATCTAAAAAATCTGGAATACTATATTCAGGAAGTGTGTGTATTAATTTCACTCTCAATTTGTCTATCAAACGAAGTTTTCCTTGTTCATTATAATGCTTTTCGATTTTAACAAAAGCCAACAACTTCTTGTGAGTTGCATTAAAAATTAGGCGGCTTAAAAGTCCCATGCGATCAAAAATAATTTCTTCTAATTTATGCAAAGCGACTTTATGGCCGAATCTTTTAATTACTCGCGTTTTACGACCTCTATAAAATAAATCACCGTTTTTCCATTCACCCAAATCTCCTGTTTCAACTATACAAGGCAGATTTTTGTTTTTTGTCGCATTTAAAAAGCACTGCCTCGTTTGGCTACCAATACAAATTTCACCAAAAACGTCCTCCTCTTTGTGTTTAATTTCAATAAATGTTCCATCCAAACTAATGCCTAAAGGAACTTCACTTTGGTAAGAATGAGAGGATAAGTCCGCAATAGTTGCCCAACAAGATAATTCCGTTACACCATATAAATTGAATAATTTTAATTCAGGGTTTCTTTTGTAGCTGAGTATTTCTTGGGGAAATGGTTCTCCTCCAAATGCTAATATTTTTAAAGATGAATTTAAGAGTATATCGGACACTTGCTGCTTAGCCCATCTAAAAATTTGATTTTGCTTGGTGTTAACAGTAACCAATCTTAAAGACAATAGTTACAAACCTTAAGAAAATCGATGGCACTACTTGCAAAAAAGTAACCAAATTCACTCTAAATAATATTTCATATAAAACAACTGGATTAAGCGCAGTGCTCTTTGGTACAATAAGCAAGGCAGCTCCATACATTATTCCCAATAACAATTCTACTAAAGTTGGATCAAAAGTCAAAGGTGTGCCCCAGTAAATGGTGTCATCACTTGAGACATTGAAAAATTTACTAAAACATAAATAATTAGTACAATCAACTTTTTGTAAATAGTCAACTACTTACTTCAAACTTATTACGTTCTTTTCAATGCAGTTATATGGCACATATACAATTTTATTTTCTTCTGTGGAGCCTGAAGTTTGCATAATACAAAAAATATCTTTAGGCAAATAATTATGATTAGTAGAATCGTTTTTCCATAATTCAATATTTTTTTCACCAGATATTTTCAATTTGTTTTTCAGATGAAAATGGTTGGCTGAAACTTCATTGTCTATTGAAAGTAGCCATGCTATATTTACCGCTTTTATGGTATCCTCTAATGTTTTGGTTGTTAGAAACACAAATGAGTAGTTCAAATCCTGAAAACTAGAATTAAAATAATTGCTGTTATTGTTGTATGAAATAAAAAAAATTACTGTTAAATAATCAGAAAGTTTCAACTTGTCTTATTTTGTTAGGCATATTAGACTATTAAATAGGTACTCTTTATTGTCAGAAATAATGGAGAAATTGGGAATAACTACTGCCAACTAAGTACTACTTGGTAAAACAAGTGGGATCGTTTTTCCCAAAAATATCAGGTACCATCAGATTTTCACACGGTCATACAGAACCCACATATTTCAAAGGTCCTGTAGGTCCTGCACAAGTCTTGTACAAGTCCTGTAGTTCTGCTGAAAGAGTAGGGTTGAAGTACTGCAGAGTACTGTTGAAGTACTGAAGAGTCACGCGGAACTTCTGCAGAGGATTGTTTGAATACCGAGAATTTAATTTCTCATATTCTAGACTGATATCAGAAATCATGTTATTATTAGTTTTAAAGTCAATTTGGCATGCATCATTCTATTTATAGGAGAACTTCTTAGGGGAAGACGTTGGACATACTTCAAGTTGTTACCAATATTGTAAATAAATATAAAACATAATTACAACTAGAGATGTGAGTGTGAAAAGTTTCACCTGAAAAGTTTCAATAAAATTTCATTTCATTGAAAAGTTTCAAGACAGTTCAAAACTTTTCAAAATTTCGTGAAAAGTTTAAAGATCATGAATCATGCATTCTGTGACTTTGTCCCAGGTTTGTTAAAACGAATACGGATGTCATGGTCGTGGGCAAAAGAATAATTAACGAGTGACGAAAACAGCATTTTTTGCAACGAGAAAACAGTTGTTTTCAAGTTGCAAAAAATGATTTTTGACAAGTAAAACACTATACTTTTTCTAAGACCATGTTTTGATTTTTGCTGTTAAACTTATGTTTTTTTTACAAGGGTTCCTACTTGGTTTGATAGCTGGCGCCATCTATAAAAAGTTCTCGTTTTTAATTAATTTTATACTTATATTTTGCTTTTATTACATTATATAAAGCAAAATTGTAATATACTAAAGTGTGTTTCTTTTTTTTAAAGATAAAAGTCAAAATGACATTATGTTGGCAATACAATGTAAAATTGTCAATGCTTCCAAATTTGTTATGTAGAAAAGTTGTATGTTGCCAACATAGTTATTAAATTTTTGACTTGGGGAATTATCTTTAAAAAAAAAACGCACTTTATAAATGAAACACAGTCATTTGAGTGATGGTCTATTTATTACTGAAAATATTCAATTCTCCGTACCCAAAGGAATGGTACTCTAGTCACAAAAAACCCATTGTTAATCTAACCATACACTAATAGTGAGCTAGCGCATACACGACTATTTAGAGACGTTATGCACATATATAACAAAAATTTACATAATTTTGTTATGAACTATTATATGGTGCTCCACAGAATTGAAATATAATTGGATTTGAAAAAATGTATTTAACATGTGAAATTTTAATCATTCACTTGCGTCACTGGTGACGAAAGTTAATGTTATGGGATATTTCATCACTAGTGACGAAATGACGTTTTCGGCTAAGGTGAAATATGACAAAAGTTGTTTATTTTTTGATGGTCATAGAAAAACAGATTTTTTCACTATTAGGTACGCAATTTTTTTTTTATTTCCTCAATCCTCAACCGCAATATTGTGATTTAATGGAAAGAAATAATTGATAAAAATTATATTATTCATCAATTCAATTTATTGAATACCTATCATTTCGAAAAAATAATTTTAGAGGCCCTATTCTTCCTGTACTTAACTTTTCAAAAAAAAATTGAAAAGTTTCAACTTTTCATGAAAAGTTTCACGAAAAGTTTCAAATTTGAAAATTTCATGAAAACTTACATCTCTTATTAAAACTACGCCTGTCTAACACTTAATTTCACTATTTTAAATTTAATAAACTAACATACTATTATACGAGACCATATAGGGATATACATTGTGGGCCTTCGAATACAGGTACCTTAGGAATCTATTTCGTACTTTTTCTGTCATGTCAACATGAGACATTGCTTGTGGTGCCCAAATGATTGAGAATGAGAATGATTTGATGCGTACTCCAAAGTAGGTCTAAACAGAGCATTATACAAAGTTATTATTGTTTAAAATGTTTTGTATTCCTGATTACAAAACCAAGAAGTTTATATGATTTATTATCAATGGCTTCATAATGCTGGGCAAATTTTAAGTTTGTTTGCAAGCATTCTCCAGTGGTATCTTCAAGCGACACGATACACCTGCAAATGTTATCCAACTGAATATTGCAAGATTTTTCAAAGAAAACAAGATGACCTTTAAAAGACCTTAAGATTGTGTTGTGAAATTAAAACACATCTCAAGAAGGCATGGAGGGAAATGAAATCGAGAATGAGTGTTCAAAATGTGAAAAAGAATAAAATGATGATTACTATTTATGTGATATACAGGGTGTCCCAGGGAAAACAGTCCACCCTGATTTATTGGATTTGGGATGAGAATCTGGGAAAATGCTCGGACACGTCAATGTTTGATTTGAGGGGGAACTATTTTTCAGTTTTTTTCATCCCCGTAGCTTCAACCCCCTAGCTAGGGGGAGAACAACCCTCCAAATTTGAATAAGGAATAGGGGTCGTGTCACACCTCTTTTTAAAGATCTCATCGAGTTCTTTATGGCCCTAGAATTTCGTCTTATTACTTTCATCCGCAACGGAATGACAGCGTGTCAAAATCTTGAAAATAGACTATTGTTTTAGTGGGAGAAAAAAGCGATACTTACCTCCCTTAATAAAAATGAAGTTTTTTATAACTATTATCAATTAGGTGTACACGGAAATTGTAAATTGTAAGTATTTTTATCAAGGGAGGTAAGTACCGCTTTTACTCCTACTAAAACAATGGTCTATTTCCAAGATTTTGACAAGCTGTCATTTCGTTACGGATGAAAATAATGAGTTGAAATTCTAGGATCATAAAGAACTCGATGAGACCTTTCAAAAGAGGCATTACACGACCCCTATCCCCTATTCAAATTTGAGGGGTTGTTCTCCCCCTAGCTAGGGGGTTGAAACTACGGGGATGACAAAAACTCAAAAATATTTCCCCCTCAAATCAAAAATCGACGTGTCCGACCGTTTTTCCATATTTCCATTTGAAATCGAAAAAATCGGGGTGGACTATTTTCCCTGGGACACCCTGTATATGTAATAATAAAATCCATCCAGCTTGTACACAATTGAGCAGCTCAGAAGTAAGATGTATGCCACTCCAAAAAAGAACTCTAATATATGCAAGTACCTAATGATTGCAATCGTGTTTTGAAGAAGATTCCATCATTTATCAATCTTATGGAAGAAGTAAGGAAACAGTTGTCAATTAGTACCAAAACGAACAAAACAGAGATGCCTTTAACATTAGAACCAGTCAAATACTTATGCTGAAGCTGCGAAAAAGAAGGTCGAAGAAATAATCGTATTCAAACCAAAGGACAAAACACAGAATAGTTCAAAAACAAAAAAAAAAATAATAGAAGAAAAAATAAACCCAATAACTCTAAAGGCAGAAGTATCAAGACTTAAATATGTACGAGAAGGTGTTGCAATAAGTTGCACAAAGAAGATATAGAAAATATATCAGACAACATAGAGAAAAAATTGAATAAACAGTATAAAATAAATATCTCAGAAAAGAAAAACCCCAGACTAAAAATAATAAACATAGAAAAAAAAATTAATTGAAGACTTGGAAACGCTGACTGATAGCATTGTTATTCAGAATAATATCAATACCAACGAAGATACAAAAGCTGCTAAAATTAAAATCTTAAGTGCTTATGAAGAAAAAAAAAGAAAATCTGGAACATCATATTAGAGGTTAATACTTATTAACTCATTGAAGAAAAGAAGTGCTTTATATAGGATGGAGAAAATGTAAATATTTTGAACATGCTAATGTCGCTCAGTGTTATGAATGTTGGAAGTTTGGACACGCAACAATGTACACATACTAATATCATATGTCCCAAATGCAGCGAAAATCACAAGATGAATGTAGAAGTGGAATAAATATTGGTGTAAATTGCAAGTATGCATCAAAAGTAGTGAAAATTCCACATGTAAATTACCAACATACAGCTTACAACAGACACTTTGAGGCTTACAAAAGAATATTTGAACAACTACAAATGAGAGTCAGCTACCCCGATACATACAAGAACCCAAAAAAATAGCAGTTAGAAAAGAACAACATAATGTATCTAAACAGAAAGTTTCCCAGCAGACAAAACAGAACTTATATGGCTAATAAATAAATGAAGACCCACAGTCATATCGTCGCTGTGATTACGAAGTGGCCAATCTCTGATTTAACAACTTTTCGGGAGAGCGTTTTGAAGAAAACTCTACTGTTCATTTTGTCTGTAGCATCAGTGGCGCCCAGAAAATATGTTTGAGGTAGGCCTACGGCCTACTAGTGGAGTAAAAACGATATAAAAATGTTTCAAATTTCTTTTTCTATTTTGGTGTCATATCGAAGTCTTTTCGACACTAAAAGTAGTTTCGAAAAGTAGCTCTTTGTGACACTCCTTTTTTACTTATCGGAGGTTGGTAACATTGACTGACTGATGGCCATCGAACTGTCATTCGCGATTTTATAATAGAAGATTTCTATATTTGGCATGTAGTGTTACCAACCTAAACATATGAAATCGGGAAATATGAGAATAAAATTTCCAAGAAAAATTTGTTTTTTTTATTTAAACCGAGATTTAAACAATACCAAAATAGAAAAAATAGTATAAAATATTCGTTTCATAAGACATTTTATCGCACTCGCCCTTTAGAAAACTCGCCTTCGGCTCGTTTTCTAATATAGGGCTCGTGCGATAAAATGACGTCTTATGAAACTTGTATTTTAATGTACTATTTTCTATTTTGGTGTCATATCGAAGTCTTTTCGACACTAAAAGTAGTTTCGAAAAGAAGCTCTTTGTGACACTCCTTTTTTACTTATCG